GAGACTGGAGACTGGTTTCCTCATCAAAGAAAAGCTTGCAGCTCTTAAGTTATTTATTACAGCTAGTTTTTAGCATGCTTTCAGAAGATAAAAAAAGCAGGCTGAAAAGTCCAATTTTCTGGTCACAATACATACACTACTGCCATGCACAGCTCTGGCTGTCAACGCAGTTCTGAGTAGGAAAAAAATAACATGAAAATTATGAGCATACAATTAGAAATCGCAACTTGCAACGGAGAATCCTACAGAAACCGGATTTTTATTTTCCCCATCCTTCTCTCAGGTAAACATTGCTTTAAGCCTTTGAGTTGCAAGCTTAAATTACAGTTAGCAGCAAGCGAGACCTAGCTAAGCTTTTAGGACTCCACTGTATCACATTGCAGTTTCATCCTCTTGCTCAAGCATTTCAGCTTAACTGCTAGAACACCAAACAGCTAATCTCCTGCCAGTTGAGCATGGAAGATAGTCCACAAGTTTCCAGATGAAACTGAAAGAATCTCTCAAGTCAAACCCTGTGTGGTAATTTTTAATTATTTGCTAGGCACTACTAAAAACAAGTTGTGGAGAAAGGATTGCAGGTGAACAAAGCAAACCGTAGAGGACCCCGGCAAAAGTGCAGCGTGAGGCTATCCCAAGGAAAGAGACACAAAACCTGAGAGCTCAAGTAAATTTTCTGTCAAACCAGAATTTAACTACAAACCAGCAGTAGGCTGTTGAAAGACCTTCAGAATATAAAACTAAAAAAAGGAGTTAAATTGTTGAGTTAATCCCAGAAATACAGACTGAGCTCTATCTAACCCACGACCAAAGCAATCTGCTGCAAAAGCAGCAAACAGCAAGGTGAATGACAACTCAATTACATTATCTGAAGTTTCTTGTATTCCTTCCATTATCTGCAACATTTGAACTCTGTCTCCCCCAAGTGAAGTTATGAAAATGACTTTAGCTCTGGAATAAAGAGTTTGCACCTGGATTTTAGGTACAAGCAGGCTGTGCCCTCCTCCCCTCTGTATCTGTTACCCTTCATACTTAGGATGCCACAAGCTCAGGCTGCTCAAGCACACCTGTAAGCCAACTCTCACCCACACCACCTTCCCGCAGACGATTTCTAATTGCTGAGCTGGGATCGTAGGGCTGGTCCTTGGTAGATATTTTTCAATAAAATTAAGATGACAAGTCTATTAGACACATCAGCCACGTAACTTGGCAGTTCTACATCTGCTAAGAAAAAGTCCGGCTGTTTTTTTTGTTTTTTTTTTCTCTCTCCAGCATCCATCTACAAAACATAAATATTTGATCTAGAGGCTTTAAACACCAGCTGGAAAAGCCCCCCTGCCCCCC